GGCAAAGGGCTCCGTCCGCCCCGACGCGCCCACAAGACGCGTAGAGAAGAGTACGCGAGAGAATGTCGTCTCCACTACTTTCGAGGCGTGTTTATGCGCGAACAGCTGCCGGCGCAACCACGACGACGTGAAACCGGCGTCATCAATCTGGACGACGTGCGCGGGCAAGGGACGCATTACGTGGCCTACGTCAAAAGAGGAACACAAGCGCGGTACTTTGACTCCTTCTGACTCCCTCCGCAGTGGACGTTCGTATGCTACGTCGGACTCGATGTGACGGTGCGTTACAACATGAACTGGGTGCAGGCGTTCGACAGCGAGTCACGTGGAGCGCGTGGAGTGCGTGCAGAGCTTTGTTGGACTCGCGATCGTGGAATTCGTCAAACTGCTTTTCAAAGTACCTTTCCCTGATGTTGGGATCTAGACTGACCGCGCATGAGCAGGGCAGCATGGAGCAGGGATAAATAAAAAAAGAGCATAGATGCACACCCACGGAAATAATAAACACCCACGGAAACACGGCGTTATCTCGCGGAAAGATATGCCTAATGCGGCAGCGTCTCTCCGTTAGGACAAGGGAAAGTTTCTTCAGGACTGCAACGGGATCCTCGCATGCACGCACACGTTGCGCCAAATAAGCGTCGAGCATCGTCTTGAAGACGATCGCCGCAGGAGTAGACGTGCCAACAAGTGATGTTTGCCGGTGCGTCAGAAAATTCCACAACGTTTCTCTTTTGAGAAAGGCGCGGCACGCACTGTTCTGTCCCCCTCAATGACGCGAAAGGCGTGAGGAGAATTGGGCATGCAAATTCAAGGTGTCGTATCGCAACCTTCTTTTGTATCACCAAGATCTCCTCCATCTACACACACACACACCTACACCCTCTCGTCACTGTCACTGTCTTCACCCTAACTCGCAAACTCGTCCGCGCTCGCCCTCACCCTCTGCCACTGCTTTCACGCTGCTTTCTGCACACACGCTCATGCGCAGAACATGAGACGTGTCTTCTTCACGCGCCTCCAAGGACCTCTCGTTTGCGTGCTCTGTAGACGACAACGACGACTAGGAGGAGGACGACGCGCCGAGTACCTCATGAGCGAAAAACGATTCCTCTGAAGACCATGGCGACAAGCCGGAGCGGAAGTGATCAATTGGCACTGCAAATGTGGAAGATGCGCGCTAGCACGTGTGCTACACATGCATCACGAAAGATTGGCAGTGTCCGCCAAACGAAGACGCAAAACGTGAGAAAGTCCATGTGAAACATCTCGGCCAGCAGTTCCTATCGCGTGTATCGTCCATAGGTCGGGAGGATCTGCGGCGCGAGACCGATACACGTTCTGAGGACAGGGAGATCGTCCGTCACTGCGGCCCCGCCGAAAAACCACGGAAACACCGGTTCGTCTCGCTGTTGGAGATGCCTCACGCGCGCCCACCTGTCCATGATTAACAGTTCATGACTAACAGTTCATGACTAACAGTTCATGATTAACAGTTCATGACTAGCAGTTCACGTAAGGGGGTGAGTTCATTGTCCGCGTGGAGTCGCTAATTCACGTAGGTGTACAAATATCGACGAAAGACGTGCGCGGGAAAGCATGCCTATTGATGCCTTCTTGATGTCCAGTTGTGCCAGGACGTGCACGATGCTGAAGCGTGGCGACAGCCGCCGCCGCCGGGGGTCCAACGCCTGGTGCGCACCCCACTCTGTGTGGTCTTGTGAGTGCGGGAGCAGCGGCCACGCGACGTCACACAGTGCGAGGAAACGTTGCACGAACCCCTCTTCCCCTCCATTCAACGCGCCCATACACACACACACAGGTTGCGCCAGAGGTAGGCTTCGACCAGCATCTACTTCAGCGCTATGAACAGGTGTCCGTTCTCCGCAGGTGGTGAAGGGGGTGCGACCCAGGGTGTCCATGTCGTCGAGTCCGTCACGGCACGTGCTACAGGCGATGGCGACAGGCAGCACCTCCCAGCGACACTCACACACACTTACACGGCACCCTCATTGCAGGCCCTGCGAGCAACTCCGGTATTTTACTGTAGTGGTGACGGCGACGACGGCAGTGGCGTCTACGCTGGACGCACGTCGTCCACTACCAGCAGGCGGCTTTATACTGCATGGCAGTGCCTGTTTACTTCTCTCCGCGCGATGTGGGAAGCAGCAACCGGATCCCGTCAAGGTGACCTGTCTCGCACTCCGTCTTACCGACCTCGCTGCGCAGCGGTGCGATCGAGGTTACTGTGCCATACGGCGCATCCAGTTGCGAGCGGTGACAAATCGAGGTGGGGCGGCGACGCACTGCTAGGTCACCCTGACACATGGCGCACCCAGATGCGATCCGTGCGTCAGCACGATACACCCCCCACTGCAATGGAGAGAGGAGCATGGGCGCGAGGATTCGCTGTGAGACATCGGCTCAGTCTTACCGCCAGCGCTGTCTAACAGACACGCACAACCATATTCCCCTCGCCCCAGCACCTTTCTCTCTCAATTTTGCCCCTTTCACAACGCGATACCCCACTTTCTTTGGGGAGTGGATTCAATTGCCCCCAACCCCCCACAGTCCAACCCCCACCCCCTAAGGGCCCAAGGACCACGCATACGGCTCCTCCCCCTCGGTGGTTGTGGGAAAAGGATCGACACTGCATCTCTTCACAGGTGGCCGTGTTAGATATGTTTCCTCTTTCTTTTTCTCCTTCCTTCTCGCTGTACTCTATGACTTCACTCGCAGTCACACGCCTCGTTCTTTGCGCGATGCGTCATTGTTTACGTGGTGAGACATCGGAACATGCGCCGGCCTGAAGGCGCTCCATCTGCGTAGGACACACATTTGACGTACTTTGGCAAAGAGCAGAAAGGGACATTTTCCATACATAAACTCCGCTTTCCCAACACCGCGGTAGGTCCACTATTGTTCCCCTCTCTGTGACAATGCATGCTGACAGCGTGTGTGTGTGTGTGTGTGTATCAGGGGGACGTAGGCGTCGTTCATGTCACCCTCTCAGCTCTTCAACACACCCATGACATGTTTTTTTACTTTCTCCCTGTTTTTGAGCATATCGCTTTGTGGATCGCATGCTTATGCTTTCTGTGCTTGCAGGATCGTGTAGGGGACACGGAGGAGACTCGGCAACACCACCACCATCATCAAAAGTAAGGCCGACCGTAAAGTAAGGCATGCGCGGACGGGTTGGCTCGTCTTCGGCCTCCACCACGACCCTGGCCTTACGCTTGCGCCGGCTCAAGGCTCCATCGCCCTTCGCGTCTGCTACACCTCCTGCATCTGCGGGTGCTGATGCTACACCTACGCCTTCTGCTCCTGTTCCACCTCCTGTTCGTCCTCGACCTTCTGCTGCTCCTGCTCCTCCTTCCCAACCTGCAACCGTGAACTCCACCAACGCAACAAATACATCTCCGCTCCGCCC